GGAAGCGTTGGATTGAAGCCAATGGCAAAGAGCCCACAACTGAAGACGTGCAGCGAATGCACGATAATTTCATACCTCAAGTCTTGTCGAGTCTCACGAAATACAGTAATGTTATCGAAGGCGTGGCAGATGTGGTGAAACGGCTGAAGAGAGCGCCCTTCAGCCTCAAGATCGGCTCAACCACTGGTTATCCTAAAGAAGTGCTTAAAATACTATTGCAAGCGAGCAGTACTCAAGGTTTGCAATCAATGACTGATTGGTGATTAATACCAGTAAATGAAATGTTTGTTTACGCAAAGGCTTTATTCCGGACGCATCGGTATGTTTGGAAGAAGTGCCCGAAGCCAACCCCTCACATCCAAGCCCAGCCCCGCTATGGCTGTGCGCTATAAGACTGGGTCTTTCGCCTATTGAATGTATACTTATATTACCGTAAATTTAATTTGTAAGCAATTTATTTCATTTAACATTATGTCTGAAGCCATAGTCAAAGTGGACGATTCAGTGAATGGTATAGCGGAAGGCCTATTGGCGGGCGTCTGGACTGTGGGCATCGCTAAAACATCTGTATTTAATTGAAATAATCAATTGAAAGCATAACTCATTTGAAAGTTAATTGCAGTCTTATGTGGGCCTAAATGAGCAGCAATTGGATGAACTGAAGTCATCAGAACTGCGGATGCGATTACAGCGCGCGTACGACGCCCTGAGCGGCTCTGGAGCTCATTATGTGATCGACACTATCGCTGACTTACCCGTTGTCATCGAAGATATTAACAGGAGATTAGCCAACGGAGAGAAGCCTTAGGTCTCACTTATAATGACGTATTCGACAAAACAATTTGTTTGGTTTTGTTTGCACTGGAATTCAGGGTTTGCCGCATCCTTTCGTAGTGCATACACATAGTATTTATATCGTATTTATTTGAATGTTTAAAGCTTTTTACAACATATTTATTGTTATGAAAACCCAATCAAAAACAATCAATTGTATGTGATTTTTAGATTTTAACAATTGCTTTATGAATCTCTTTGGAGAATTCAATGACAATCAAATTAAAGCCATATTAATGTTATTAATTGTAATTAACTTATATACAGATATTTCAATTGTTTTAGTATTATGCCCGTATTATATTTATTGTTATGCTTACTATTTAATCTCAATTT